TAAAAACATAATAACATCAATTTTTATGTAATTTTTTAAAATATAAATTTTGGTAATTAATTAAGAAGACCATTTAAAAAGATTACTTTTTATTGAGTAATATTTTTAAATTTATTAAAAAATATCTTTAATTTTAATATCACAAAAAACTAATAATACTATACCTCATATAAATTAATTGGCTAAAGTAAAACTTCTGTTAAAGATTTTAGGAGGATAAAAATCATTATTAAAAATTGAAAAAAAAAAGAAGAAGAAGAAAACTTAAAAAGAGAATAGCTACACAAATCTCAGGTAGCCTACGACCTTTTTTTTCTCCAAAAAAATTTTTGTATACTAAGAAAATCACATTGACCGTTATTCAAATTATTGAACGTCTATTTCATATATCTGTTACATAAATAAAGTTAAATACTAAATAAGTTATATATATAAAGAATAAAAAAACTAACACATTCTAACATTAAAATGTAAGTAAATGAAGCAAGGTACTACATATGATTCCTACATTAGCAAACAAATTCCAAAAAAATCCTAAAATTCATAACCCTCCTCTCTTCTAATGCCCATTGAGTCGACCTCTTCCTCATAGCTAATTATAATTTTGAGAAACACGCTTTTAAGCACTCCCGATGATGATAATCACTTCAAACAAAACATGGCCGCGCTTTTCATCCGTCTAAAACCTTGATTAATTCCTCAGACAAAACACCCAGATGCTCCAATGAGAATATGGGTACTCTAGATCTCTTATATCGTCACAACTTTGTTAAGGGAGGAGAAATAAGGATCATCCTTGTAATTTATAAGTTGTAAAATTAGAAATTTGCATATTATTATATGAAAAAAAGTATTTTATAAGTCATATACATATTAAAAATGTAATTTAACTTATAAATTTATTAAAACATTTTTTATAAAACTATTTCTTATATTACTTTATTAATGGTAATTTAATAATTTTATTATCTAAATTAACGATATATTGATTTGAGTAAAAAAATTTTGATTCCATCAAATAAAGTTTCAAATTCAAGTCTTACGAATTAAAAAATAAATGTGGAAAGAGTTTTTTCCTTATAGGGCGTAATGCAATTCCATCCTAAACTAGTTAAAATTTAATGTGATTTTTAAATACTAAAAAATTAAAATTAAAAAAAATTATAATCTAAACTATAATTTTAATGTATAATCTGCTATATAAAACATGAATCTCTTATCATATTGTATATAAGTATGCATAAAATCTAAAAAGGTCAAATGAACAATTTATTAGGACACAGTGGGTACATGCATAGTATCAACAAGATACTGTATAAACAAGAAAGTAAGTGTAATCAATTAACTGAATTAGGGACTTAAACTTCTGTTATTCTTGAATAAGTACATGATCTTGTCATTTTTCTCAAATGAGGTCAAGTTGGATGAGAAAGAGCAGGTGCTCTCACAACTGCTTGATTCATCTCAGCAGCAAACCTGTAAAAACCATGTTCTGCTACTTAAGATTTTCCAGTGTAATTTTTTTCGGCTCAGCAGTTTTTGACACAAAGAAACAAATTTAGAAATGAGGAAAGAATTACCAGGGAGAAAGCATAAGATTATATACTGTATTAGAAAAGGAAATAGTCAGATAAAAGGGCTGCACTTGTGACACCAAGCAAGCAAAACAGTGAAATGAAATCAGCGATCCCAATTGATGACCCTGATAAGAAGTAAATTTTATGAGTGTTGCTGTCCCCTCTGAAACCCCTAACGATCATGGCCTGTAAAAGCAAAACAGTTATTGATCATTAAAAAGAAACCTTGTAAAGGCAATTTTCCAGGTAAGTTAACTGCAACTGAATTGACAAAAAGCATAAAAATGCTCAATCTGAATACAAACCTGAGATATCTGCTCTGCGTGTCTAAAAATATTTTTGAAGATCCGTCTTATGTAGGAGGCCAAAACTGAAGGACAAAAGGAAAGCAATTAGCATTTCAATTAACATTCAAGCAAAGTCACATAAGACTAGTCGAAATATTACAATTCAATCCGCATGTCAATGCAATAATGTAGGGATG